TGTCACAGTGCGCTCGAACTGCGATTGGTTTACTCACATGACATTGATGTGCAACCAGCTGAATTATGCGTTGATATGTTGGTGGCAAATTATTTACCGTAAAAGGCATAAGAATCAGATGCAAGTACCGTTCAATCAATGCAAGGAGCCCTGGAAAAGTTGTCTGCAGTGTCCCGTAATACGGAATGCCCTTTTATAATCAATCGTATATAACCAAACGAATCCATATATCTGACATCAGAATCGCATTTTGGCGATGCCAAGTATAATTTACGCTATGTGTAAAAAAGCAATTAATTATTGCATAAAACTTAACCGTTTTCATCCTCGTATCAACCAATTTCAAACTTACGTCAACAGCAGGGAATCTTCAAAGGATCTTGGACCAAAATGACAGCATAACAGCACTGGGTCGTTGAATAATAGAGGAGACTTGAAATTTAATCAGACATGAAAGAATCATATAGCTGTTGAAATTATTCTTGTGCCGGTAAACGCTCCGATGGCACTGACAGCCTTTATTACCCAAACTCATAAATGTTTGCCGCAAACGTTCGTTGATATTTATGCATTGTATTTACCGTCCAAAGGCCTAGTGAAATGCATTGCTTGCCCTGAGTAATTCAATCATTTGCATACCTACCCTTAGGTCCACACAAAGCGACTTTGCGGCTATGCATTGTTGCAAGACCGTGACTGACCTTATATCTGGAAGTCAGCTGACAAGTTTATTCACCCACCGCGCCGGTCAGGGCGCGTAAGCCAGTGCCGATTTTGAATAGGCATGCATCGCTGCGGTAATTACAAAAGTTACCGCATATTCCGCTTGCAAAGGTATGTAAGTATTTACGTGGTGCTTTGTGAGAGGCGGAGAAGTCCTGAGTATGGGGTGACAAAAAAGTACACGCCGATGGCTCGTCTGTGGAACAACGCGAATGAGGCTTCAAGGCAGTGCTTTTTTTTTGCCTGACAATTGGACCTCGGATGATTGAGAGAGGTTCAATGCTGCGCATATTGCCTTGTTTAACCATAATTCCATTGCTGCATAAAACACCAGCAATGCGGAAGCAAAGGACGTTTTAGATCCTAAAACCGCCGTATCACCATTTTCACCTTCGGGATGCCATTCATACAATGCAGCGCACATTTTCTTCCAGAAATTCACATTTTCCTGCATGTCACAAAAGGTCATACCGCAGCGAAATGTCACGCTTCAAAGATAGCCATCCAACATTATTCCGCACTTCCGTCGTAATAACCTCTCATTGACCGCTAGAGTACCGGCTGTGACCCGGGTGGGGTGACATTCAGTCTAATCACGGTCCTCATTTCAGGCACGGCCTCCCATGAGCCGCGGGCCGGGTATAGCCGCCGCGCTGGGCTGAGCCCCCTCGTTCGTGGCCTAACGGATGTCTCTCCCCAGGCTGGGCACGGGGAGGGCGACAACACCGTTCAGCCATCAGCCAGGGACGGGACCGGGTGGGTTGGAAGTGGCCTGCGTAGGTGATACCCGCTGGGAGAGGCACTTTGGAGTCCCGCAACACGAGAGGTAGATATGCAGATGGGTTGGGGAGCCGAAATAGAGACATTTGAGTGATATAGTGGCTCGACAGAGTGTAGGCTGTGTAATGTGTGGATATAGCGGCGCGGGAAAGCTGGTTTGCACAACAATCACAACTTCCAGATTACATTTGCTTTTACAGTTCATTCAGTGGAGCCCTTGTCAATTTTCGACCTTATTTCACTCACTCGCTCACTCACTCACACACTCACCCACCCACTCACTCACTCACTCACTCACTCACAGACTCACTCACTCACGCACTCACTCACTCACTCACTCACTCACTCACTCACTCACCCACTCACTCACTCACTCACTCACTCACTCACTCACTCACTCACTCACTCACTCACTCACTCACTCACTCTCATTTGCGCCATTTCCTCAGCTAGTTCCTAAACATTTTCTTGACTCTACCTTTCTCATCGGCCATCTGTTTTACTCGCTCGCTCCCCGCCCCTCACCCTTCCTCGGTCACCCTGTCATTTCTACGCCTGTATTCCGGCTGCAAAGGTCCACCTTTCCGCGACCGGCCGGGCGGGCTTCTATTTGTGGGCTGCCGCGGCCACTTGAGATTCTCAAGTGCGCCTCTGATTCGGCCCAGTCCACGCCGGTTTCGTTAGTTGCTCCTTCAGCAGAACTCGGAACAGCAGCAAATCGTTGAAAAAACTACCCGCATGTGGAGGACGTTTAGGGCAGGTCGGCCGCGGCACATAAGGGTCAAGAGGCACTACGGTTGATTTCGGGAGTGTTTGGGCTGTTCAGTGATTGGCGGAAACGAAGCTTATGATGTACACAAGTGGGACCGTGCTGTGAGGCGCAATGTGGTGCACACTAGAACACCTGCGCTGGCTTTTTATATCAGTGGCTTTTTACGCGGCACCAGGCTGGGAGGAACCGGGCCGCGGGTAAGTTCGTTGAACCGTTTCTTCGCATCTAATGAATGCGACCGCCCTTTACGAAACGTCAATTATCGCAATTCATGCATGTACAAAAAAAAATATGCAGCAAAATCATATTATTCTATTTGACGTCAGCTCCACGTTTTTAGTATTTCACCTTCCCGTGTGAAGCTATTTTATGCCTACACAAGTGCCTGGGCGTTGCGCTCTGTGTTAAGTTTAATTAACTAATATCGTTTAGGGTTATTAAAAGACTGTGTGCACTGTGCTCCGTGGAAGGATATGTGCTATTTATGATTCACGACTTCCCCCAACCACTTAGTGAATTAAAACATAGAACCATTTTCATCACAGATAGCAGCCTTCCTTTGAGGAATATTGGCTGTGTTTGTTGAACATAATTAACAAAAGATAAAACAGAGCGTTCAACACCATTTACAGCACTGCTGCTCAGATGCAATGCGATTAGCTGTAGCGCTGCTCACTACCATGCAAGCCGCTGCTGAAGAATGAATGTACTATTATAGCACTATCACAGCATGATTGATGTGCGATCTATTGTCGATAGATGTGGAATTTCTTACCCTCAAAGACGTTCCTGCGCCTGAGCGTGACGATATAGTGTTATGGACCGATGATCTATCGCTGCCCAAACATATGCTGTGTATTTTCTAGCCTTCCCTGCAATGTGTGCGATGTATTATATGGCAAATAAGGGTTGATCAGAACTTCAAATAATCTCTCGGATATTGCAGTATGTTCCTTTTCCCACTTGCTTCGTAACCTATTATTGAAAAATCACCTATGAAATGCTGTATTCAAGAATACATAATTACCGCTGACAGCATGTGCTTTTTCACGATTTTCGCTGTCGTTCGTTCTGTACGCGAACGTTCGTCAGATTTGATTCCGCTGGTGTGATAGATCATTTCGGAACATATTAACTTCACACAAAAGTATAAGATCCGGGAAACAGCTTGAGCTGGCAGGTGGAATTAAATTACGCATTGAGTCGGGTAATATTGAAGGTCGAACTCAATTTTGCTGTTCTACGCTGGCACGTAAATGCAAATGGTCCGCCCGGTAACGAAATTACATGTTCATCAGAACGGTAATATACGCTCGAATTAACGTTCAAATCAAACGCGACCTCAGCCGTCGGTGAAACAGACTGCATGGTAAATGAGCTCGTAAGAATATAATAGCCGTTTTCACGACGGGCTATTCGGCGCCGAGTGCACCTGATTTGACCAAATCTGCACCTAATCTCTTTTACAGCAAATCTCTTTATTTTATGAATTTATTTCAGTGTTTTAATCGATGATACTCTCTGATAATGTGACAAGTCAGGCATATAAGCAAATAGTGCAACTCTAGCTGATAGCTATTAACCCTCGCCCGCACATGCCATTTTCCCATCCTAGAACGCACATGGGGGGGGTGGTTACCACCCCCCCCCCCGCGCCATTTCGTTCCTGTTGGAGATAGAGCTTAGCAGTAAAGACCAAAAAGATTCTTTGGGAAGAGACGAATCCAATGATACCCAGTTTTACCTTCTCAGGTCAGTCATTGACCTTCCAGGTCAGGTCAAACTAAAAAATGTTGCTGTTTTGGGTCACCGTTGGATATCAAGTGCGCTGCTTATCAAATACCGATGACGATGCTGTTTTCTGGTGCCAAGCCAGCTAGAACCTCTTTGTCACACTATCCGACCAGAATTTTGCTGCTGAGGTCATTTCAGGTCAAGTTAGGTCAAGGTCAATTATATGTGTTTGTATGTCTGTGTGTGTCTGTGTGTATACTGATGTGTGCACCGATTGTTTTTGGGTCCATATTACATGAAATCATGATCTGAGAAGCTTTTACCAAAAATGCAGTCAAAAAACTTCACAAAAAGTAAATTCAGCTTGCCTAAAACGCAATTATCTTAGATGACCTAGGTTGACCTTGACCCTGACCTTGACCCCTGTACATCGTCGAACAACATGTTCCATGATACGTGGGAGGTAAGACTGGCAAAAAAGGCCGAAATCAGGGTGTCAAAAGCTCACAAGGCCCATGACAAACGCAAGATGTTGAGAATTGGCCATTTGGGTCATGACATGACCTGAAAAACAAGGTCATATCTCCGAAACCAAAAATCACAGAAACTTGAAATTTTCAGTGGACATCAAGAAAGGATAGACGAGCAGCTATACGAAAAATCAGCCTTCTAGCTCTAAAAATGTTGAGTGCAGAGCAGAAAGACTGCCTGGGGGGGTGGCAACCACCCCCCCCCCCCATGTGCGGACGAGGGTTAAGAGACACACTGAACCTGATTCGACCAATTCTGCACCTGATCTGCACCAGAAGCGCACCAAATGTGTACCAGATGGCCGTCGTGAAAACGGCTAATATAGAAAGTACCATTCATTTTTATTAATATCTGCACATTATTTTTCGTTTCGTTATGTTTACCCGTAGGCAAGAGCGCCTGTGTGATGACGAATAAACCATTTCCCTGTAGTGAATTGTATCTGGTTTGACTCAGCTGGTTAGCCGGCACCTGATATATTCTGTACTTCATGGAGCAACACAGTATCATCTTATAAATATGCAACAAGTGAATGAAAATCACACGGAGCTCCAGTCGTCAGTAAAATAAAAACAGTTGAAATACTTATGCAGCAAGACACATTTAATACTGCGGGCAGCGCACTCGATATTATCGCACTCACACAAACAATATCATGTCATTTTCACCCAAGCAATATCATCGAGGTTCCTTACTTCAAAGCACCATCATCTCCTAGACATCATCACCGCCATCGCCATCATAGTCGCGTGATAAGGACGGACGGCACGCGCGACGTCGACTTCTTGGACGTTTTCTCGGTGAAGTAGACCTCGATCTCCTCCAGAGCCTTCTCTCTGGTCTCCGGGACGACAAAGAAGACGAAGAGGTAGCCGACCGTGGTGCAGAGGAAGTGCAGCCACAGCACCCCGCTGGCGCCCAGCGCTTCCTGCAGCCAGATGGCCAGCCAGGCGGCCACCAGGTCCCCGGCCCAGTAGGCCACGCCGCTGAGCGCTGCGCCGATGGGCCGGCTGCGCTGCGGAAACAGCTCGGCCACCAGCACCCAGGGCAGCGTGCTCATGCCGACGCCGGCGCCGACCACGAACACACCGACCAGGAGGAGCAGCAGCACCGTCCCGGCCACTGAGTACACCTGTTCGGCGCTGAGCAGCAGCGCGCACAGCGCCAGCACCATCAGCGCCAGCGCCTGCAGCGCCGAGGCCAGCAGCAGCGGCACGCGCCGGCCGAACCGGTCCGAGAGAGGGACCGACGCCGCCGTCGCCGCCATCTTGATCAACGTGACGCAGAGCAGGGTGGTCCGCTGAGTGCGGTCGCCGTGACCCATAAACAGGCCCACCGCAAAGGAGGTGACGGTGCTGAAGCCGCAGTGGGGCACCAGAAACGTCAGCGTCCCGGCTACGAAGAGCGCCCGCAGCGCTGGTTGGCGCGTGTGCGCTCGCAGCCAGTTGGTCCCCGCCACCCCGCCTGAGTCGAGGTTGGTCAGAACCAGGTTCAGCTCACTCTCGCTGTAGTACTCGACTCCTCGCAGCAGCCTCAGGTTGATTTCCGCTCCCACCTTGTTCCCAGCAGCCGCCACGAAGCGCGGTGACTCTGGGAGCGTGATGACCAGCGCCGCGAACAGCGGCAGCAGGAGGGAGAGTCCCAGACCGGCCAGCTCGCGCCGTCCCATCACCTCCGCGGCCAGCAGACAGAGCAACACCCCGGCGTCAAACGCCGCCAGCGCCGCCACGAGAAACCCTCCGCGGCACTCGGCCACACTGATCTCCGCCACATACACCAGCACTAGCAGAATCGACGCGCAGCTGACCAATCCTGTGAGGATCTCGTCTGTGTATGCAAGCCACGGGTCGGAGGAGAACAGCGGCAGAGTCCAGATGACGGCGTCTGCCAGACAGGCGGCCAGCAGCGGTCGGCGTCGGCCGGCCAGCAGCAGCACTCCGCCCACCAGCGAGCCCAGCAGACACCCTGGGGGAGAGACAGAGAGAGAGAGAGAGAGAGTTGGTCAGTCACAGAGTGCTAATGGGGCAGCAGCACTCCGCCCACCAGTGAGCCCAGCAGACATCCTGGGGATGACACAGAGGGTGAGGGGTCAGTAGCGTGTCGTGGGGTGTCGCCACCGACACAGAGCGTGTCGGTGGGGCAGTAGCACTCCCCCACCAGTGAGACCAGCAGACATCCTGGGGGAGAAGCAGAGAGGAGGCTGGTCAGAGTGTGTCGGTGGGGAGGCAGCACTCCGCCCACCGGCGAGCCCAGCAGACACCCTGGGGGTGACACAGAGGGTGAGGGGTCAGTCAGTGTGTCGGTGGGGCAGTAGCACTCTGCCCACCAGCGAACCCAGCAGACACCCTGGGGGAGGGACAGGGGGGGAGGGGTCAGTCGGTGTGTGTGCCGGTGTGGGGATAGTGTGGGGCGGAAGTAACGGCTGCCAATAGGGCACTCTAGAGGGAGGGAGGGAGGGGAGAGAGAGAGAGAGAGAGAGAGAGAGAGAGAGAGAGAGAGAGAGGCGGGAGGGAGCAGATCATTTCATTTCTGCTCGATTGCGAGTGGATGTAAAGAAGAGAAGGCTAGCTGAATGAGAGCATGTAAGTACATGCACACTATAAAGCCAGACTTTTCTTTGAAGGATAGCGCGAATGAATAAATTCGTTACATCGTCTAAAAAAAAAATCTGAAGCAATTCATTTCACACTGATTCGAAGCTTTTAGGCCATTGATACTCGAGTGTCTATCAGAAATTGAAACAAATTTTATTCAATGTCCGGGCATATGACTTTGGAAGATCAAACCCGTCGTATTTGCCATCTAAAAGCGAAAGCGTTTGAAGTGCTTATGGGTCTCAGCCTCGAGGATTGAACAATGCTTGCTCGCGTCCTAGCTAGTAGGGAAAACGGATTAGTATTGAATGCTGATATATAGTGCGGGGAATGCTGATAAGACCAATTTCAGCCTGAGGCATCGATGGCGCAGTTAAACGGAATCAGTATTTTACCTTTAATTATCCTCGAACAAGATGATTGAATTTTAATCAACTCCTACTTAAAAATCTAATAATTATTTCCTGACAGACGTCTTGCAGGCAATAACGAATTTCAGAGATCGTTTCGATTATTCCAAAATATTGAAATATTTTAGATATTCGAAGCTGAGACAAAGCTGGTATGCCATTATGAGTAATACTCCAGCCGGAAAACAAACTGTACCTATAGAAAAATAACCAGCCTTCCTCTGCCTGTTCGCGGCAGTGTTGGCGAAAACACAAGTCTGACAAATACGTATGTCAACCAGACTTCTCGCTTGTCCGGTCTCCCTTTAAAGGGACCCTCCCACCTTCAAAAAAGTTAATGAATTGGCATGAAAGTGATGTCGCTCGGTTCAGAAAGAGCAAAAACGAATATCTACCAAATTTCATCGAAAAATATTCACCGGTTTTTCAAGATATTAGACTTTTACTTTTGTTTGCTTTTTGGGATCTCCGCTGTTCCTAGCGACTTTATTTGAAAGTGCGGCATTTGTTGCGCGCAAAGCAGCATATACCACCGCGTGCTACAAAACGTTTTAGTCAAACATTTAAAAATCGTTAGATATCTGCGCTGACGTCACACATTCAGAGGGGTATTCCTATGCATTAGCCCCTCTGAATCAAAATGCTGCAATTTTGAAATTCAATATTTCCTATTTTAAGCATTTCTCGATGTTGTGAGTGCCGAAACCGGTAATTGTGAGCCAGGGACCCCATTTTGGCTATCTCAACTCAAATCTAATGTTAAGGTGGGAGGGTCCCTTTAACCCTATTAGTGGCAGGCTCCTCACTACCCCTATTAGTGGCAGGGGGGGTTGTTTACGACCCCCCTTGATATCTCGAGATCTAATGGGCCGATTTTCAAAATTCAAACGGCATTCGATTTCGCTCAACGTGATCTACATTTCTAAAAAATAAAAATTAAAAAAATTTCAATAGGGGGGGTAGAGGGGGGTAAAAACGGGCAAATTGCAGATACATTTTAGACTGTTTATCACGGCCAGGTTTCTGAACCAATCTTAACGCAACTTTTGCCGATCGATAGAGAATGAACCAGGAATTCACATGGATCCTAAAAATATGCATTTTCAAAAATCATAGGCGGATACAGATCATTGAGATTGGGGGTACACAAAAAGTATAGTAAATAAGTTTTTTTTGGTACTGTTTCTAAAAAGGGTGGTAATGGTCTTGTTATGTTACAATTTTGTTATGAGAGAACGACTACAATTGTATTGGTCATGCATAGGCGGTGTCAGGGCACCTATGTTGGGAGGTAAAATATAACCCCCTTTTTGGACTCCTGGATCCGCCTATTATAGCAAAAACGTGTCAAAAGAGGATGCACAATAACTGTATATGTTATCACATGATACCTTTCATTCACTGTTCGTAAAACTGGTGCAGCATCGTGATCTTCGCCCAAATGACTCGCTTCACGAATAGGACCCCCCAATTCCCAGTGCTCTGGAGCCGCCCCTGGTAAAGTTATGAACTTGAAATTTTCAGGGAATGTGCCCAATTTAGTTTTAGGAAAAGTCAGAAAATTTCAGCATCGTAGCTTCAGCGGTTTCGGAGATATTCCCGAAAAACCTGAGGGGTGGATAAAAACAACCCCCCCCCCCCTGCCACTAATAGGGTTAACGGTGCTGACTGCTGAGAGTGCCGTTCTATCGTGCTGACGATGGGGAATCTGGACAGAGTGGACTACCCAAATCTAATCAGCAGAGAAACGTCATCAGCTCTCACGCTGCAGTAAATAAGTTATGCAGATGCACTGAGCTTCTGGAGGGATTGTCGAGAAGCGTATGGCACTATTCCAACGCACACCTAACATTTCCTGTAAATGCAAGGTTTTAGTAAGATCGTCGTGCGATGAGAAATGGCTGGTATACGCGCGTTGTGCTGCTCCTTCAACATAATGGCGCTTGTCACATAAGCCACACCAACTATTCTCTCTCTCACAAACCACGGACGTGTGGCCCTGTGACGGGCGGCCTGCCCCCCACTCTGAGAGCGTCCCGTCAGCACAGGCGATCGATGGCTCTCGCCAGGTAGACCCCTCCTCCCCTCCACTCCCTCTCTCTGCCCCCTCTCTCCCAGACGGAGAGAGGGGGCAGAGCAGCCCTCCAGAGCTGTGCCGAAGGGCTGCTCCTAGAGCGGTTCCGAGCAGCCCTTTACTAAGGGATGCCGCCCTGATTGCCAAACGGACTGACCGCTTCCTGGGTACTCGGGAGATGTAAATGGGATGGGTTGATCTATTTCCAAGGCAATACGGTGATGTTGAAAGTTGAAACTAAAGGAAGGCGCCGTCCAATTTTGGGTATGGATATCATAATAGAGATCTTATATAATGGATATATCGAGTCTAATAGAGGTGGAATGGCTGGGGGATATTAGGTTTTGTTTCATTCGTTCCAGCTAGGTCTGTTTCGCATCGAAACTCGGGCGCACACCACAACTGCGCTCCGCGTGGTCAAGGTCATTGACACAGCTCCATCTAACTCCATTTAAACATGCCATTTTCAGCCGTCGATGGTATAAAAGTAAATCGATGCCCACTCAATAAGCTCCAGGCTTTTAGCGTAAATGAGTAAATTGCTAATGTTGCTTGTTGGTGCCGGTTATGCTTTTATTATTATTATTTTGGCTTATTGTAACGTTACATGGAACGAACATCGCGTTGCTTAGTAGTCAGACTAATGTTTTGCCTTAGGAGGCTACCAAAACAGATTTGTCACAGTCAGCCGGTCATCTGTCCTTTTTATACCAACAAACGTGCCGGCTCGCCCGTCTGATCCGTTGACTGGTGTTAATCAAACCAGCACAACAGAATGACCCTGTACATATTGGCTCACGCCGCAAATTGGAAAGCCTGCCAGCTATCCAGGCACATAAACCGAAGCACCTGGTAAATTGGAAACCGCTATGACCTATACACAGACGTAAATTAGACTAACCCGATCGCGGACGGTGTGGGAACTCGATACGGCTGGTGGGAGGCTCCCTGCGGGGCAGTACGCCGCTCTCCAGGTCACAGTCGTGTCCGCGCCAGTGTCGGCGAGGTGATGGGGATCGCGCCCGTTCGACAGTCAATCAGCCCGAGAGCCCGGCGGCTGGGGACCGCAGCCGTAACTGCAGCAAACTGATTGCCGCCGCCGTGCTGGGAGCAAGCACTTAGCCCTGTGATGTGGGGTCTAAGATGTCACCGACTGATGTCTCGCTAGTTTACCGGTTAGGTGTTGTGCTCGCTCACTTGGGAATGAAAGCAGGTCTTCTTGGAAAACGGAATCGATAGATGTTTTGGGTATAGCCTCCTTTCAAGTGGTTATTTTGGAAGGCTCCGACCTAAGGCGATCGATATATTTGAACAGAGAACACATAATTCGACTACGAAAATAAATAAGGCTGCTTTAATTAGTTATGTAGTGATGTATCTGATAGCTTTTGTAACATGGCAAAGCAAAGTAGAGCACTCAGCTGTCATCACGACTTATCAGCGTCCAACAGTGTTTATAGCTACGGCATTGTATTAGCTTCTCAGCATAAGCTGAGCACTGCGCAGTGCGCTGGCTCATCCTTGGATGGCTGTCCCGATAGTTCAGCTGAGAATGGAACGGTGTGGACGTCACACTGAACCCAAGGCTGGTAAGCTTCACTGGGTGCACTTGCTGATGGCTATCTTTGGCAACAAATCTCGTTAGTTTGAGCATAATGTCCAATTCCATGCTCTTTCATCGAATATATGCGCTGCAACATTATGCAAACACTGAACACCTTGATTCAGTCTAATGTCGCACGGTATATTTCGCTATATGCTACCTCAATATTGATTTGTATAAGTACTGCTCGCTTTGTCCGACCAGATCAATACGAGCGTCGGACAATATAAAAACCGCAGCATCGTGGCCCAGCTCCCCCGGTATTGATTATCATCACGCCAGCCTCGCTGTAACCTTTTCGTCCACCAATCGCATTGCTTCTCTTGTCGTTTGTCAGCCAATCATCGTGTTCCCCGTTTCGGCCACCGCCTAAAGAAGTGCGGACCAACGCCCAACTGTTTTGGTATATAAACTCTGTTCTGTCACTCAATACATTCATTCTCTATCTGGCTGACACACGCTTGTGAGCTCTCCGACAATCGAGCGTCGGACAATATAAAAACCGCAGCATCGTGGCCCAGCTCCCCCGGTATTGATTATCATCACGCCAGCCTCGCTGTAACCTTTTGGTCCACCAATCGCATTGCTTCTCTTGTCGTTTGTCAGCCAATCATCGTGTTCCCCGTTTCGGCCACCGCCTAAAGAAGTGCGGGCCAACGCCCAACTGTTTTGGTATATAAACTCTGTTCTGTCGCTCAATACATTCATTCTCTATCTGGCTGACACACGCTTGTGAGCTCTCCGACACTAATTATGATGTGCTACGGGGCAAAAATAGCATTTCTTGGGGGTAGCTATTCAGTAGCGGCGGAACACCTTCAATTAAGGGGGGGGGAGCACTGCCGACTTTGGTCCCATTCTTTCCATGCAACGCCCATAGGGCTAATGTTAAAATGCCAAAATCAAAGGGGGGCACGGTGCCCCGGTGCCCTTCCCGTTCCACCGCCTATGTACCTATTCATTGTGCTTTGACGATTGTTGGTGCAAACAGAGCGAATTAGGGAAGCTCTGAAAGTAAAGCGATCACAGTTTCGCTTTACGACAGCCATTAAATCAAATTTATTAACACCGTAAGACGATTATAGCAATGAGATCCGGACTTGGCAGCTCAATAGCATGTGGCGTATAATAGCATAACTACCCAATAGTACTCTGACATGGCGTCACGGAAGGAAAAGGACGAGCTGTTGGTAACGCTTTCTAACCTACGCGTGAGTCAAATTGGGTTTTAAGTAGCAGGGTGGCTCGGTGGCATATGTCGTTTTCAAAGGCAGTGGTGCATTGGTGCGGTACACGATAAGTGACTGCTGAGGTCGGTCAGAAGTCAAAACTCAGGTGAGGTGAAGACCTGAAACAACGCTCCTTTGTAGGCATGCGCACTATCAACATGAGCATCAGAGGTGACACGGGCTTCTAAAAATTGAACAAATAAACATTCTGCTCTAAATTAGTATCCTTCAATATTTCGGTTTAAAAACAGCATTCCTATTTCTTTTTCCACACCACGAACTGCCAGGAAACTGAACAGCTTGGTACGACTGTCGTCTGTCGTCTGCAGCAGTGACGGATGGACCTCGCCTGGCGTGGCTTCAGACGGCCGCGTCCGTGTCATAAGGCGGTCCTAAGAGCACGGAGACGTCACCGATCCGCCGCTATACCGCGCCGAGCCCAGAGCTTTGGAGGCCGCCGCAAAAAGGGCAATTTCGACAGAGGGTTTCAGTGAACTTGAGCCGTGCCCAAGAAACGGCGTTCCATATTGATGGTTTGCCGGGCGACCAAGATTTCAAGGACTCCAAAATATGTAGGTGTTCACTGTTCAGTCACACTCACGACCTTCAGTTACGGCTTGTGACTTCGTTCGTGTCTAATGTTTGGTTTGATGCTCGTCGGTACTTACTATGCATACTCATTTCGGTAATTCTGAGGGAGCAAAGGTGATAACAATCAATAAGATCCTAAGCAACTCCTTTGTGCGCTTTCTAGTTTCTATTACTGTCCCCCGACAGCGAACACCTGAAAGAATAGTGGATACTGTACCGCAGTGCACGTACCGACTGCCAGTAGGTGGTTCTGTCTCCGCTCGCCAGATGTCAGCACGTGCTGTGGGTTGGCTGGCGACTGGTAGGCCATCATGAATCCGGTGACGAGCATCGTCAGGCAGCCGGTGGCGACGGCCAGCAGCTGCGGGCAGAGCGGGTGAGGAGGTCACCAGAGGGGTTGTACTTACAGAGGGAGACGCCTGGGGCTAGTCATACGCTGGGGGCGTGAATGGCTGGTAAGTTGGTGTCCCGGTAGGTTTCTAAGCCTCCATTTTGCTCATTGGCCGTGGCAGCTAAGCAATATCCTATCTCATATCCCATGTCGAATATCTTAGCACCTTGTCATAGGCACTGATGGCCCACGCAGCTCGGAGTACGACCCTATAGTCATGAAATTGGAAGGTAGGTCCTGAGTCCTGTCTGTAAAGACTAGATAGGCTGCTGCAGACTGCCTTACTCGGTCTCGTAGCAAATAAGTAAAATAGTTATTTTGGTGCATTTTAGGTCATGCACTGTTGGCAGAGCCAGCGATAAGGTAATTGGCGTCAATGTTTGTTCATTTTGTCAGCATCGGCATCCCTACATAGTACATAGCACTTATGTTATATACAGATGCGGCTCTTATTGCTGCTATTATCCTAATTTACATAAAACCTCACACCATTCCTTAACAGAGCAAAGACAGAAGCAGGACGTATGCTGTGTGGAACCACAAATTCTTTTAATGGCTTGTGCTGCTGTCAGAAGCAAAAACGCTGAGCAAACATGTCAAATCTGGACAATAGGACAATCCTCCAGCAGGCCGGAAGCTGGGACAATAGAGTATCGATTGCTGCTCTGCTGGCCTGTCAGCTCCGAGTAGGTATATGCTGTCATCACTTTTCGGCAGAATGCCATCAGCAGCCCTCGGCCTATATCCCGCATTGATGCAGACGCTCACAGAACAGGCACATCGAGCGTGAACAAATGCCAACACCGCATCTAATTTCAGCGGTACTTATATGATGTTTATTATACATTATTATGTATATGGCGTGAAAACAATGAAGATACTCCATATAGAAAAACAATTGAGTGCTGCACTGAGTAGGTACTGCAGTTAAAATGATAGGCTTCTGGGTTAGGCTATGTTTTAAAACTCATATACTTGTATATGTACACAAATAAAGGATATAAATGGAGCTTCAACAATACCACGGCCCTTGCAGACCAACAAAGTTTCTGCTTTTGTCTGTAATTGTATTACAAGCATTTAACCCCTGAATTGAATAGGTACAAAGATTTGCTCCTGCTTCTGAGAGCAAACTCTAAGACCTCGGTAGTTAAAGCCTTTGGCCGTGCATCTGTGAACTCAGCTAAAACGGAGCCATAAATTTCGAGCATATAGTGACACCTGCAATGTTGGCTGAGTGCAATTAAAGCGGGAAGCGGGTGTCACACCGTTCTGCATGGTTTCGGAGAATAGCGCCGGCACTGCAGTGTGTTCTGGATAAGGTACACCAGACTGAAACAGATGTGTGGTTCCACGGACACTTTTTGCGCACATGGAACACTTAAAATGATTGTGAGCAAACGTATTTTCCTTACCACAGTAAAATGCTCGGATTAAATCTTCTTCTGAATATGCCATGATCAATCCTAATTATAAAAGAACATTTTGGAGATCACTGAAAGCTGTTCCAGCACAATAACTGTAGCCGTTTTCACGACGGGTCAGCTGTCGAATGCACCAAACCTGACCAAATCTGCACCAAATCTCTTTTACAACAAATATCTTTATATCATTAAGTTACCTATTTCTGACCTATAATCAACAATATTGTCTTATAACTTGAGAAATCAGGTACATAAACAACTATGCAAACTAAATGTCAGACTTCAAAGAAACTCAATAAACCTAATTTGACCAAATATGCACCAAATCTGCACCCAATAGCCGTTTTCACGACGGGCTATCCGGCGAATGCACCTAATTTGACCAAATCTGCACCTAATCTCTTTTACAGCAAATATCTTCATTTTATGAATTTATTTCAGTGTTCTACTCGATGATGCAAAGTAGGCATATAAGCAATAAGTGCAACCCTAGCTGATAACTACTGAGAGACACACTGAACCTAATTTGACCAAATCTGCACCTAATCCAGAGGCGGATCCAGCTCAGAGTTTTTTTTTGGGGGGGGGGGGCAAACCATAACAATTTATCGATTCTTTCCATGCCTCGTCCATAGGCGTATTGTTAAAATTATGCCGTTTGGGAGGGGCAAATGCCCATTTTGCCCCCCCCCCTGGATCCGCCACTGACCCAGATGTGCACCAAATGTGTATGACTATGATGTACCAGATGGCCATCGTGAAAACGGCTAATGTGAACCAACTGTGTACCAGATAGCCGTCGCGAAAACGGCTAACATCCATCGTCATGTAAATTATTCATTTTTCACAAATTCACAGCGGCGCTAGCTGAAGGTAGGTATATCCATCCACCCCAAACTCATCCATCATGCCTCCGTGTTTAACCCTATTCCTGGCGGGCTCCGCCGGGACAAGAAACTGGCGGGGGGGGGCCGATTCGGCCCCCCCCCCTGAGATCTCGAGAACGAAGCAAGATAGCGACAAGCGGTAAACGGCATCGGATACGCACGGCCAAGATCTACAATTTTTACTAAGGCCATTTTCAGGTCAGGTCAAAGATGACGTCACAGGGGTCGAAAAAGTCAAAATGGCGGCGCTAGATATGGAGAGAGTTTTTCTCGAATAACTTTCGAATTAGTCAAGATAGGAACAAACTAAGGGCATCATCGTGATCCTCTCGTCAATCCGCATCGAATGATATATATGTTGACCTCGAAAGGTCAAGGTCAAAGGTTGACCTCAGGTCACGTGACCTCGAGGTCATCATGTATATCATTCGATGCGTCTTGACGAGCTGAACACAATGAGACCATCCACGCGTCTGTATCTTGTTCCTGTACGGAGTTATTGGCCAAAAACCTTTGGTGACCTTTGATGACGTCACATGACCTCACAGCTGCCCAACAGCAAAACAGACCTCAAGGTAGTGAAGGTTGATCGTATATGAAGTCATGTATGGTATATGGGGCCATTCCGACCCGTTTTAGTGGTAAAAACAGGGAGTTGATTTTTCCCCCATTGACTTATAATGGGGAGGTCGCGAAATTGACCTGACCTTAGGTCACCGATATCAAAATTCCGAGATATACAAATTGCACATACTGGTACCCTAACTAAACCCTGACGAGAAGAAATTGATCGGTCAAAAACTCTAGCTCTGGCGTGATTGCAAACTTTTCTGAGGTAGGGTCACCAAACCGCCTCTGGTGACCTGACCTGAGGTCAGATCAACTCAAAATTTTCAGACATGTTGCGTAGAAGCCTTTTAGGAAAAGTCAGAAAATTTGAGCTTCCTAGCTCAACGCGTTTGGAAGAAATAACCAAAAAACCTCAGGGGGGGCTCCTGAGGCCCCCCCCCCGCCAGGAATAGGGTTAAAAAGTCGTCCTATCTGGGCGAATCTTTCATATATCTGTCAGCTCAGTCACATTCCTGTTGAAGTTGAAGACGGTAGTTCTGCCACAGGTGTTTCAATAAAACACGAGGAGCCACCGGAACAAAGGCACCACAAAGCTCCATCGTGTAGCACGTGAACACAGGGAAACCATCGATCTCAGGTAGGCCACATGCATCAGTATGATCAGCCTGAAAGTCACCCGTTACATGCAGGGCTTCATCGCAATCAGATAACTTGGACCTAATAGCTCTTTCGAGAAGTCTGTTGATCGCGGGGTCACTGAAAGGATTCGTTCCTGCTCAGAAGTTTCAACGAAATGTGACCGGATGTGCTGCCTCAACTGATAAAGTCCTTGACCCGAGTTTGGCTAAAGAAGCATTTAATTAAAGAAAAAAATGTATCTTAGTGTCGTACTGCGTTTGAGAGTGACTGACCCATGGTACGATTCTGCAGTACCGTACTGCGTTCAATTCAGTGACTGGTCCAGTGCATGGTACTGCGTCCCTTAGTGACCGACCCAGTACCCTACCGCGTTCCCCAGTTACCAAGGCAGTGCCGTACTGCGTTCTTCAGTGACCGACTCAGTACCGTACTGCGTCCCCCACTGACCGACACAGTATACCCCACTGCGACCCTAGTGACCAACCCAGTGCTGTAATGCATCCCTCAGTGACCAGCCCAGTGGCACACTGCGTTCTTCAGTGCCGCATTGCATTCCTCAGTGACCGACCCAGTACCGTACTGCCTACTGCACCGTGTCCAGCCGGCCGGCACGCCGCTCACTTTCGGTGGGGTGTCGCAGCCGGCCGCGGTCGAGCTGCGGAACGAACCTACCGAGCGGCTCACACCAGCCGCAGCCGCGCGTGGCCGAGCAGCTTTGCATCGCATTGCATAACGCCTCTTGGACAGTGGGAGCCCAACTGAAAACTCTTCCTCGGTAATATGGATAGACAATAAATCGTTGATGCTTTGATGCGTGAGGAATGTCAGAATTTCACCCATTGCGTCAGGATGGGCATCCAGTACACCACGGATATCCATGCGTTGCGTTCTTCGGCTATGCTGCAGCTTTCTAGGTTTGTGGATTTTAGCCCCATGCTATTAGCGTTTCTCCTAATTTAGCAGAGCTCCACTATGCACTTGCAGCATGCAAAAAGCCATTTCCAGTGCAACAATTTGAATTTATTCGTAAGTAAGCTCTTTTGGATATAAGTCAAGACCCGATGAACTCAACAACAACGGACCGAGCACATGTTGCTTTGCGCACTACGTCATGTGGGGTCACTCCCAAGTTACATATTCATTAGATAGGTAAAAAATTGTTGACTTGCATTTCATCAAACACGACCCGAGCTCCTATAATCAAAGACGTAACAGTTAGATTCCTCAAAGTAGATCATTGGAGCATCTGAATTTACGCCGAATTTATGCCCCACTCTGTTGATGCTCGTGGTGCAGTAAATGTAACTATGCACTATACAGGTGTGATACAGCTCGAAACGAGATGGCGTGATCTCAAAATACTGGCCTTACTCACGAGAGCAGGTAGCATGATTGGTGCTTTAAGGCTTACAACTTCCAACTGGGTCATGACGGTTACTCTGTGGTCATG